ATATATTATTATTATATTACATGTATATTACATGTATAACTATAAATATATATTTATGTCCACCAGAAATCATTATTAGCTTCATAAAAGAACTGGAAGGAAAGAGTTTCGATGTCAAGAAAACGATTACAGCTTGTAACGGAGTGACACTTACAAGCATAATTCCCGAAAAGCAATTATCTAACGTGTTGCATCATTTGCAAATGTAGATAATGTAGAAAATGCGGAAATTAATTGATGATATAATATAATTCATATAATTGATACTAACAAATAAAATAAGAAATACTTCATATTATATATTACATGTTATAAGCAAGAATTAACTTGTACTTTTTATGATACGACTCCGAATATAAGTGTTTAAAAAAAAAAAGAATTTAATCTCTATGCTGAAGGCGGAAACCCTTCATTTAAAAGGTCTTTATCGAAGATACTTCTTTATACCAAAATTTAGAAGTTTAGTATTTACTTTAGGATCGACAAATTCACTTATATATTGGTTCGATTTATACATCGATTTAATAGAAATGTTAAAGTAGTATCTATTTTTATTGATTTACTCGATGTATACAGATAATTTAAGAACACCAAGAATAAATAAATTGGTAAATATACATTGCACGGATCAAATGTTGTTATTTTTCTCTTTTAACTGTCCTCTAGAGAAATATCTGATCGCTTGAATATTACAGAAAGTAATAGACGAGTGTCTAATGTCACGATAAGACATACTTAAATTTCTCTCTTACTTTAATTTCTCTCTTCTCTAAGTTATAATAGAATTTCTTTTACGTTATTATCATTTACCTTATCAAGTAAGTACCAAAGTAATAAAAATAATAAATCATTTTTATGTGTATCAAAGTATATAATAATATCCTTAAATATCACTGAAACCATCAATAAATCCGATATAAAATTGCAATAATTACAAATAAATATAATTACATATAATATAATTACAAATATTTAATTCAGAATTGCAGGACAAAAAGTTATGAAAAAAAGAATGTGATTCTTTTTGTTGCAATTACAAATATCAAGACAATTGGAAACGGATACTTAAATATTAAATATTGATTACGTCGAAATTTTGTGACTCTCCAATAAATTTGTATAAATTTATAAAAATATATATTTATATAAATTTGAGAGACAGATTATTGTTACTGCTGCTATAGGAATATTTTAAATATTAAAAATTATTATTTGCAAAATGATAGAATTTAAATTATCCGTACCAAACAAGATAAGTTTATTTGGAGAACACATGTTACCTTACGGTTATAGCGGTGTGGCAGCTGGTATAGAATTGCGTACAAGAATGTCATTTACCGAAGTATCAGATGTTAACAGGATCGTTATAAAGTTCCCTCAAATAGATCTACATTTCGACAAACCTTTAAAAGAATTTCTACGTATTTACAAGAAGTGCGTATCGAATAAAAGCAAGAGAGAAATATGGCATGAGCAAGTTTCACAATATATCACTACTTGCACATCTCTTACTTGCACAAATGATCAGAGACTAATTTTAGTGGCTTTCTTTTATTTACTTATTTGCATTGCCGAAAAGGAGAAAATACGTTTTAAATCTTTCGAAATTTATTTGTCCACTCAATTAAAAATTGATACGGTTTTCCCCTGTCCATCGTCATTTGCAGTATGTTTTGCAACGGGTTTTTTATATTGGTCACGTCTGCAGAAAGGAGTTGTGCAGAATAGTTTTAGTAATGATGATCTGAAGAAAATACTACACACAGCTTCGCTTTGCACGAAAATTTCTTCGAAGTTTCAAGAAGTCGACATTATTGTGTGCACATATGGTTCAACAATTGTACATAGGAAAACATATATGGAAGGACAGGCATCAATAAACTGGGATACTTTTAATATGCCGGAGATGATAGTTTTGCTTGTCGATTCAAATAAGCTACAAAGTCTACAAGAACAATTGCAGGAAATAACAATCAAATCAAATGTAGTTCCAAATTATATTCAACATTTGATTACATATCTTAATAACGAAACGATAATAGCTGTGAGAACATTATTTGAAATTGATTCTATCCAAAAAAATAATCAACTAAATGCTATAACAAGATATGAAAAATTGATGAGTCAACAACGAGAATTAAAAGTAAATTATATATGTAAAAAGAACTTACAAACGCGTGCGCGTGTGCGCGCGCGCGCGTGTGTGTGTGTGTGTGTGTGTGTGTGTGTGTACCATCATTAAATATTTTTATATATTAATAGTTTATCTCGGAATAACTTCTTATTTGTAATTTATATAATTGTTGAAAAGTTCATTTATGTTTTTTATTTTACAGAATATCAGTATCAGAATACAAATATTACTTAATTTATTAATACGGCCCTTCTATACC